ATACAGTGAGCGATTCATACCAATATGAACAAGTCCTTGCATCTTTCGCTGCAGGGCATGGCCTATGCACCATTTGTTTTTCATTTACTGATGTAAAGAACTTTGGACAGAACAGAACACAAACGTAATCTGACACCGTGACATCTCTTCTTCCTCTTGTCTCGCTGGCTTTCCGATTTTCCCACAGCGTTATCCAAGCTCCCCGAAAGGCAAGTATTCGCTAGGAATGGTCTGTCCAAATGACAATCTATGATACTTCCAACGAAAACAGGCCAAAGATGCAGACCGTGGTAGAAATCAGGACAGTAACACCAATGTTCATAGTTTAGGCTCTCTGATATTCTACTAAGGAATAACAAGAAAAAAAAAACACATTGTTTTCAATTGCATACTCTTTTGAATATATAATGCTGTAATGAGGGGCTGTGTGTACTTGTGTGCAGGACTCATGGAAAAATCAAATATGTTTCTAACGTCCCTTATCTAACAGAATATGCAGTACGCATCAGTTCACAGCTTGATTTTATTTTACCAAGTATAGTTGCATTTTTAACATCAATAAGTTCAATGGCTTTTTCATTTAAAAAAAGATACAAATACATTTTTCATGATCCAAAAATGATTCCGTGTAGTAGTTTCTTTAGCAAAGTTACTTGTAATTGATTTTTCATATCTATGGGAGAATATTTTTAGGTAATGACTCATATTTTCTCTCTATATAATAAATACCATCAATTTTTTTCATGATTATTTTTGGGTAAAGAGAAAGATGTACATTAGTGGTAGTTCTTAAAAAAAAAACATGGAAGTTTGAAAAGAACTGAAAAGGATTTGAATATCGTCAAATTCTACCCTTTTCCTACAGATAGGAAAGCAGCTTTTACATGGCACAGAGTGAGAACCTTCTCCACGCCGGGCCCCCTCCCCGGGCCCCAGTGTGGATTGTACCAGCCAGGACAATGCAGAGAGGACAAGGTCACGCCCCAAGCCTTGCTTGGTACAGAAATGCTGAAAAGAGAATGGCCAAAAAAAAAAAAAAAAAAAAAAAAGCCTCTATTGTCATTTCATTTTAAAGTTTTCACTTCATAAAGAATACTGAGAATTAATGCCCAATATTTCCTTCTTACATGAAAAAGGGGAATGTCACTTCCTTCCCATGTTATATAGAATATTTTGTAGATCAAGTTTTAACATAGCTAAAAAGCAGCAAACAGGTCTGCCGGATAAACGTTTCATGTCCTCTTTTTTTTCAGTGAAGCACTGTGTCGTAAGAAACTTTCAAAGGAATAAACAGGTACTGTCTGCCTGTCTCAGTAATTAGCAAACGAGCACAAGGTGGTAACACAGAGGCCTGAACACGGGGCCCTCAGGTTGGCAGTGAGCTGGCGGGTGACAAGCTGGGCGAGAATGAAACACGTGCAGCACCGTCTCCGGCTTCACGCGTGCACCAGAAGAGGGACGAGAGGTTTGGGCGTCTGCGGCGTCACAAACCACCACAGTGAATACAGTGATTTGAAACTGGTTGGGCTGGAAACATGCATGCAGCCTAGTGATAAAGAAATGGCCCTGATGTTCACCGGGGCTTCGTAAAACACAAGATGGGGACCGGGCAGTGCCTGCCAAAGGCAGAGGAAAAGCAGGTAGGGGCTCCCATGCCTCCAAACTTCCACGGGGCCAAAATTAAACAGCAAGAGCTGGAAGACAATTGCTTTTTAGCCCTTTAGCAGTACTTATTAATTAGCTTAAATGTTAATGTTTCCTGTAATGAACTTAGAAATGTATTTAAATAATTTTTAGGGATTGTTGGCATTTATGATTCTTTGATACACAGTTTACATCACCATAGTTGGCATCAGAAAGCAGTAAACACCCAGGCTTGCCAAGCCTAACATCTCTGACCTTACCTCTGGAAATATTTTTAAAATACAAGAAGTAAATCCCTTTTCTCCTGCATTTTAGTTTATGTTAATTACTTTAGATGGCTGTACATTTTTTTGCTAATTCCTTACTTTAAAAAAATTGAATTTACGATCTCATTTAGTCAGTTTACATTTTATACTTTCTATTCTAACATTGAAATCAACATGGTTTGATTTCTAAGGCTTACGATATCTGCTGGAAGGTTGGCCTGGATTGGTTAGTTTAGTGGTTAGTACCTTTATCATTCGTTAAAAGCCACCTGGTACTTCCCAGGTAAAAATCACTGTAGCTTTTAGGTTGTCAGTAGTTATTCTTTTTAAAAATAAAAATAATAAAAAAAGAAGAAATTGATTACATATCTTGAAATCCAGGAGCTATAAAATCATTCGTATTAAATGTTATCAGTGAGGTAAAGCTGATTTTAAATTAAGGACGTTCTCCATCTGGAATTAAGCTGTGTGGAGCCACCATCCATGAACTCACAAAGCTGCTGCTGCTGCCACACTGTGGGCACCGCCCCACCCACTCCTATCCTGTCCTGTGATTAGATGCACATCTATGTGTTCAAGCAACCTGAAAAGCTGGCATTTTCACTTCATGCTGATGACAGGAAGGCAATTCTGAGCGGTCATTTTCGGGCACTGCGGAGTCTCTGATATGCAGGAATTTTCTACCACATCTTCTTCCATCATAGATGTAAAAAGAACCCGCAACTAGGAGGCCGAATTTTTATTTTGGAAAAAAGCACAAAGTAAAAATTTCAAGACCAATCAAGATGCACCGAGACGCTGCTTAAATCTAAGCTGCCAACGTGTGTTGACGTCCCTGGTGGAAATACCACGGACACACACCCACCACAAATGACCTCCTCAAATTCCACTTTCTCCATTAGGGAAATCAAGGAACGCAACTCAGAAGTAACATTACATCCTGCATTTTATTCAATTCCATGTGACAAAAATAGTAACCTAGACTAAGACATCCATTTCAATCAGTAGATGTGTCAAGCCACAAGATTTAATAATAAAAAATATTGGGTCTAGGTAACAATCCCCAGCTGCTCAGAGAGGCCCCAGCCCCGCATGGCATTACAGTATAAAAATAGCGTCTCTCTTGACCATGCAGAGGGACGGCCTAGCCCTGCACACAGGAGGGCCAGTCTCACCGTACCTTCATGAGCCATCTTATTTACAACACTTTACATTTCTCTTTAGTTATATACACATCCATTTGGGAGAAGAGAGGACACTATGTGGTACCAAATACTAACCAAAAAACAAACGAACAAAAAACCACACACACACACCAGAAAGGACACCGATAAATAGTGAACACATTCAACTGCTGAAACACAGCGACCTCAAGCCACCTCAGTTTTCTCTGCCTAATGCTTGAGACACCCCGAGCCCTCATCCCGTGAGAAGAGGGGGCACGGTGGGGCCAAGTTACATCTCATCACCGTGGAAAACAGAGCTGTAGAGTTCAGTGTTCATTTCCAATAGAAATAAACAGCTAATGAGTCTTTGATACTCTTTTTGTTCAGTGACACGCTGGCACACACAGCCCATCCTCTCACAATGATTGTTGTTGCTGCTGTGGTTGTTAGGAGAAGATCGTTTTATTTTTCTGTCTCAACCGAGAAGACGTCACTGTCCGGGCATGCAACTCCTCGCACTGTTACCCAGCTGACAGAGCATCTCTTGAACCATTTTGTTGTTGGAAGTTCACAGTGTCAGACGCCAGCACGCTTGCAACGCACAAAAATGAGGTAGTTCACACGACGCCGTGTTTGCGCTGCCTCGGCCGCCCCTGCCTCCCGGGCCCTCCCGGCTGGATGCAGCTCAGCCATCAGCGCCAGACTGTGTTCTGAAAAATCAGAGGACACTGTGCTTTGCTTTCATCTGAGAAGATAATAAATAAATCAGGAACTCGGAAAATTTCAAAGTCATGACTGATTGTACTGCCTGATACTTGCCACTTCTCTTGGGTTTACTGTCCACGTGACCAGTGCCACCAGGCAGCCACAGTCTTGTCTGTGGGTGAGAGAGAGACAGACAGACCCGCTTACGGGAAAATCAGACCTGCAAAAGGTTCTCCTAGTTCCTCTCTGGCGTGTACTGACGTCACAGTCCTAGGAGGAATTCACCAAGGTTTCATTAGGGGGTGGTCACAGTTTTTAAATGGGCTTTGTGTTTGTAGAAAAGTTAAATAAATCATTTTAACTCAAGAAACGGCAGGCCCTATTTTCTGAGGAGCTGACAAGTCTTGGTGGCTTTTCTTTTTAAGTGGCATAGATTTCTAATATTGTTTGACCATAAGACAAAACAAGAAACTGTAACAGTTTTCCCATTTTCCTTAAATTGAAGTACTATTTATAAAATACATCTTTTTAAATTTTCAAATTATAGACAAACCTCCCTAATACAAAATACTAAAAGTGCAATAGTATAAATTAAGAGTTTGCAACCACATTATACAAACATTACCTTTTTATTGTACAGCTTTGATAATGTGAAATATTTTCTCACAACTGTTTATAATGTTGTGAGTCATTTACGGTGATGTTTGTCTGTAACTCGTTCCCCAGTCATTGGGCTACAGACCACACTAGAAAACAACAGTCCACATAGCAGCTACAAACATTTAAATTTAAAAAAACAAAACAAACAAACAAACAAACAAACAAAAGGCTTATTACTGACAGGTACTCGCACATGAAAAGCATGCTATCTTTCCCAACAGAACTTCACAATTTTGCCTGCATTGAAATAATCCACTTATTTATAGTAAAACAAATCTTGCTTAAAAAAAAAAAATCACATAGCCAGATGTATTCTGCAGTACAAAAGCTTCGTTTAAGGTCGGGGCTATTATATTGTCTGTTACCCGCATAATCTTAACATTATAAATACTACCGACGAAGATAGTGTCATGATACACAGCATTGGGAGTACTAAACCACGTCTTTAACATGAAGAGTTCTAAAAAAACATCGTTCAAGTGTCTAACTAATTCAAACGAAACCATCAAATGAGTTTCACTGGAATACCGCGGGGGACCCCTTTCTCCCTCGTAGAGATTATTGGGTTTCAGGAGAAAGGAAGTGGACATGGTCTGAGCTCTTTCTGTTCCTAAGGCGGTTTTCCAAGCACTTTTTTTTGACGGAAACTTATGTAAAAGGTTGCAGAGTTCTCAAGAACAGTCAGGCTTGTTGTTGAAGGGGGCGCCATGCAGCACTTACAAGACCACCTCTCAGCAGTCGCACAAAGTGTTTTCTGCTATGGGTGAAAGTGTAATGAGAACCGAGGCAAGGAAGGTCAGAGGCCTGGCGCTCCAACTTCAAAACGTGGGCCTGGGCAGGGCAGATGAGCGAGTCACTGGCTAGTTGATACCAATCTCCTTGTTGTCCTCGATAAACCGTGTGAATGGGCGGCTGGCTGCTGTTTCTGAGCTTGCTTTGTCCAAGCTGACGATGGGTGGGCTACTGCCGGTACGCGCTTTGTCCATCCCACTGGCCATGGTGCCCAGAGGCGGGAGGGCGCTGCCCCCGAGACTCACGGGGAGCTGGGGGATGCCTCCGTTCTGGATGACGGAGATCTCGTTGTTCTTCATGGCGAGCCCGTTCGTGATGGCTGCAGCATACTGGTTCCAAAAACTGGGGTCCACGTTCATTGCCCGAGCCGCCAGGTCCTTCTGGAACATTTCAGAGAACTTCAGGGCATCGCCCCCTAGGAGAGCCATGGGGTTCTCCACAGACAGGCGGCGGCCGCGTCTCGCGGGGGCGTTATTCCACATGTGTGTCCCCATGTGCACCTGCGCGAGACACGGAGACAGCCCACGAGTAAGCGCCCAGACACGGAGGCAGAGCTGCTCCGCGTTCACTGCAGCAGACAGAGGTCTACCCCGCTCCCAAGCGCGACTTAGGGACAACAAAACACAGGTGGACTTTTCTGGGCACTTCATATTTCTACACGCAAACATCTTGTTTTATTGAATATAATAAGCAAAACCAACAAATATAAATTAATGAATGCGGTCTTTCAGTAGACAAACTTTAATTTTCTCCTAAGGTGTAAAGCCCACATGGCCACCCAGAGAACGTTCTGGAGCTCGAAGGGTCCAGGTCTTGCCCCTTCACTTGCCCAAGCCCTGGCTCCCTTCATGGCCTCCACCGTCCCCCACTTCACATCCTCTGCCGCTGGGACTGTCTGACTGTGCCTCTCTTCTCTTGCTTTCTCTCAAACGAGAAAACATTAATTCTAGAACATCCCAGGGCCACCTGCAGCCAGCAGGCCCTTGGGGCAGTTCTTATCCAGCCCACACACGCCGGGTAGAAACCACAGGCATCGATCTTTGGGCTGTCTGAAGAGGCTGCCGGAACCCAGACAGGCTGGCTTTGCAAACGAGGACTTCACAGAGGACAGAAAGCAGCCATCAGCCAAGACGGTACAAGGCACGGGCCTGAGCCACCCAGTACTCGTCACACCCCCTCTCTACCACTGCTGCTGCGATCTCAGCACAGCGCTGGCTCCTCTGCCCCACGCCAGGAGTTTCTCACCCTCCTGTGGGCCCTCTTGGCAGCCACAAGGACAGAACGACAGGGCCTGTTGAGTGACCTCGCCTTGGTATTGCTTGTTTTACATGTGAGGTTTAAAACCAAGTTTATTTTCGATCAGATTCAAGAGGGCTTCAGGCCCTAGACCTGTCCCCCAAGTTGCAAAGTGAGTGTTCTCACCCCTAACCAATGCCTAACCTGGCTGAAGCCATCAGAGGCCCAGCTGCATGTGTCCCTGGGGAGAGGCCCAGGCTCCTGTTCCTCCTGCAGCCGATTAACAGCATGTAGCCTAAGTGTGTGTGCACAGGGACACACACACATGCCAGACACCACACACACGACATGCCCATTTGGACACGCACATTATACACGTATGGATACATTACACACCCACACATGGGGCACCTACACATGCATACTCATACACAACCCATACCCACATGCATGCACATAGGTACACCGCTCAGCCACACGCACACCCGACACACACACATCACACCCTACAACACACACACCACGCACATGCATGCACGCACACCCACACCCACACGTGTGGCATCTCATCCCCCTGGCCAGAACAGGAGCAGGACCTCGGTCGCTGTGTCCGCGCCAGGTGATGGAGGAAGCCACGGCGGCTCGGCGCACCGCAGCCGGGGCTGGAGCCTGCCATGCTCTTACCTTGAGGTTGCCCTTGGTGGTGAAGGCCCGGCCGCAGATGGTGCAACCGAACGGCTTCTCGCCGGTGTGCGTGCGCTCGTGGATCTGCAGGGCACTGGCCGAGGAGAAGGTCTTCCCGCACGACTGGCAGTTGTGCTGCTTGGGCGTCCGGCGCGGCGGGGGGGCCAGCATGGGCGTCAGGCCCGGGCCCATCACTGTCTGAGGCCCGGCGGGGACCTGGACGCCCGCGGGCAGCGGGGGACCCTCGCCCAGCGCCATGGCCTTGCCGTGACCGTTCACTTCCACTTTGATCATGGTGGGTGCGGCGCTGGAGATCAGGCTAGGAGTGCTTTGGCTGGGACCTAGAGCAAAGTTGGGGTCAAATAACTGAGAAGGCAGCTCTTTCAATCTGTGCGTCAGTAAGTGCTGTTTTAAATTACCCATAGTGGAGCACCCTCGCCTGCAGAGCGCGCAGACGAACGGCCGCTCCTTAGTATGGCTGCGGTAGTGGATTTCCAACGCGCTCTTGCAAGCAAAAGGCTTGCCACAGACACCACACACAGTGCTGGGACACTTACCCCGCTCCCTGTTCAGGAACAGCAGGCTGAAGGGCGCCTCCTCCTTGATGCCCGCGCGGCCGGGGGCGCCTCCACTGCCTGGGGCCTGTCTCTTATACACATCTACTCCAGCACGCTTGCAACGCACGAAAATGAGGTAGTTCACACGACGCCGTGTTTGCGCTGCCTCGGCCGCCCCTGCCTCCCGGGCCCTCC